CCCTGCCAACAAGGCTCCATTGCCCCTCCCCTCCATCATCCTGGGGACATGTGTCTAGAGCTATAAATCAGTGGAGTTTCATGAGAGTATCCCAGCCTGCTGTACAGCTTGCCTTTCCCCAGCATCCCTGCGGAGATTCCCAATGGTTGGTCCTCCCTCCCTCCAGACTGGAAGCCAGAACATGTCCAGGGTGGCGTGGCTTACCTGGGCCACGGTGCCTCTTCTCCATCCAGATGTAGCAGTTGTTCTGGGCCACACCGGTCTGCGAGTCCAGGAAAGGGAGACGCACGCTGCGCTCTGCGCACAGCCTCGAGTTATAGCTTCGGCAGTGCTCGATGGCCTCCTTGTAGAACTGGTCCCCGAGTCTATCAGCAGGGGAGAGAGACGGAGGAGGAATGAGGCCAGGGAAAACAGAAACACACCCAGAGGATAAGTGATGGTACCCACCTACCTCCCTGGGAAGATTTTGCGTGTCTGGAGACCAAGGCAATGAGTACCAAGAGAGGGGAGGAATCCAACTTGGTGTCAGGTCTCAACCAGGTTCTATTTCCCATGCCAAAATCACCAGGGAATTTAGAATCCCCTGTAACCAAGAGCCTAGGGCCCCTAGATAAACCACTAGTAAAAGTAACAAGTTCTCACTCCAGGAAGCATGAGGTCCCACCTCTAGAGGTGGTTCTAGAACAATCTTCTACGTGAGATCTACCAGGACCTCAGGCTTCTAGAGCCCCCTTATTAAGATCCTACATTAACCACACTTTGTTCTCAGTAATTGCCAGCAAAGGCACTCTAGAGTGAACCCAAACCCGAAAGCATGGATGCACAGATTTCCATTGCAATCAGAGAGAAACACCCCACATAAACACAGACCAGCAGGACAGAGGAAATATCCCATAAAAGTAAAGCTATCATGGGGAAAGGAGGCGAAAAGGGGCACGAACCAGTCTTTTAAAACCACACACTTAAAAAATAACTTCCGGGGCGCCTGGGTGGTTCAGTCGGATAGACGTCCGACTTCAGCTCAGGTCATGATCCCATGTTCCGTAAGTTCGAGCCCCGCAACAGGCTCTGTGCTGACAGCTTGGAGCCTGAAGCCTCCTTCAGATTCTGTGTCTCCCTCTCTCTCTTCCCCTCCCATGCTCACTCTCTGTCTCTCTCATTCTTAAAAATAAATAAACATAAAAATTTTTTTAAAAATAAATAATAAAGAAAATAAAAAATAAAGAAAATAAAAATAGAAAAATAAAGAAAAAATAACTTCCTAACTGAAAGTAAAGGAAGGATGTATAATAGTTGCATTCTGAAGTCAAGATAATTCAATCCCTGAAATCTAAAACACAAAGAGAAAGACCTTTCTGGTTTGTTGGAGTGGTGATCTAAGCCCAGCAAATTTTATGTTACTGAATCTTTAGTATCCTTGGACATGTGGTGATGCTGCTAATTTTAAGATAATACCCTTTTCAAAGACAAAAAATATAACATTGGTAAAACTGATCAAATATTAAAAAAAAAAATCAGTGAGATCAAATACCTACCAAATCAAAGACAGGCACATGTGGGAGGTTAATAAATGGCTCAAGGAAATACAAATGTAATAACATAACCTTGCCAGGTAGACTTGTACTTCTTTGTGGGGAGGGGAGAGAAAGGCAGGAAGGGGGGAGCCAGAGGGATTACAGGGCCAGAAGAGAGAACCAGGTAGCTCATTTTGAAGAAACATTATGAATGTCCCTTTGTTTTGGTTCTACATAGATTTGAAGAGGCCAAAATCGGGGTGAGAAAGTCTCTAAGTTGAGAATAGTATATTTCTTAACAAAAATATTTAGAGGACTAAAGAAAGCAAAATTTTAGAGGGATTTTTCTATAGTGTTTTTTAAAAAAGTCAGTGGGTCAGGGTCCACCAAGAGTTTAAAGCGAATTTCTTATTCTGGGAAGATACAACCATTGAAGCTTCTGAGGCATCTCTTGGAAATTACTTATTTGACATAACTCCTAAAAAAAAAAAAGTCCCCTTGCTCCTTTTCCCCCTCTGAACATCTTCAGTTTCACAAGGAAGGCATAATGTGCTCAGAAAGTATCCTAGCAGTTGCAAAACCAAACTGTAATCAAATTATAATAGCCACACAGCTGGAAATGAATTGGGGGGGGGGGTGGAAGCCCATTAAAATGCTATAAAACAGAACATGAGCTGATGTAATCAAAGATGGTAACAAGGATCATGAGATTGATCAAAAATAAAGAACCATTTCCTACAAAGCGTTCACATCTGTGTCCCACCAGCTTAAATGCCTCCACTGCTAAGGCGACATAGTCCAGTGTGCCAGAACTTTCACAGGCAGCTCAGCCCAGGTAAGATGACACACAGCCTGTCCAGAGTGTCCTAGATGCTCCAGCTTCTTCATGAAACCGCAACCAACCAACCAGTTGATGAGCAACAGCAATCAGTTGATGAGAACTGACAAGAACACATAACAGAGAGGTGTCTGATGTGAGAAACAGTAATCTGGTTTCCCACGATCTTTTGACAGATGGCCAAAATAGATGTTAACTATTCCAACTCCAAAAATTCTGCTGTAGGAGAAGCCATAAGAAAAAGGAAGATGGCACACTACAACTCATCAGCTGGCAACAGGAAGGTTTCCGTTTTCAAAACAAACTCTGGAAGCCAATAGAAAAGGAAACTACAGAGGGATCTCAAATTAGACTTTTCCCGATACGCTCATTACTGGCTTCCAACAACTCCAATCCCAAAGAGAGGAACAAGAAAATGAAGTTGCTGGAAGGGAAAGTGAGTTTGGCCAAGTCCATGCCCCACACCAAATGGAACGAGAAAGTCAAACAAAGTGGTGCGCTGGGTGAAAATTAATTTCATCTTAAATATTTTCCACTTTCCGTAACATGCAATGCTATTAGTAACAGGCATGCTGAGGGAGAATGTGTATTTTTAAATGTAATCTTGGTGTGAACGATACCTCTCTTATGTAAACAGAAAAAAAACCTTCTTCGGACTGGAACAACTGTATTACAGGCTGGACCTGCAAAAATGTGACATCTAACACCCTCTCTGCCACTGTCTCCAGGGAACTCACTTTTAAACAGTCCAGGCATTGGCAGAGATTTGGAAACAAAAGTTTAAAGCCTTTTTCAAGATGTGGGAGGAGAAGAGAGACTTCAACCTTTTTGATAAATTCAAGCAGTGCCTCTCCAAAAGTTAATTAGCCAAAATCTTCACAGGGCTCGTTCTGCTCTCTAGAAGAAAATCGATGGCCAGGTCTCCCTAACCCGTGGAAAGCAATTTAAACAGGAGAGAGGACAAATGTCCTTTTCAATATGGGATTTCTTAAAAAAAAAAAAAAAAAAAAAATCCCTCGATGATAGGATCCCAGGGGTGACATTTGCATTCAAGTTGTGAGGGGCAGAGGGAGCAGGGAAAGGCTGGCAGGGAATGACTCATTTTGTGGAGCATGCCCCAGGCTGGGTCAGGCACAGCCCAGCCTCAGCCATCACCTGCCTGCATCAAACCAAGGGGGCCGGATTGCCACGGGATGATAGATGTCTTGGGCTGGAAGAAGCTGGCACAAGGCAGAATAGAATGATGTTCTCATCAACAGCCTACTTCGGGCTACCCAAGGCTGCAATCAGAAGCAGGAAAGGCAAGAGGAACAAATTGCTAGGCTCTCCGCCAGAGCAGGAGCCCCCCATGGCCTATGGCTTGAAGGAGTGCTGGCTGCCCAGTTCCGGGGGCCGCTGGGAGGCCGCTGTGATCCCTTAGCGATCACATCTGGAGTGAGGGAGCTTCAGCCCTCAGAGCTTTCCAGTGACCCTCCTTGAGCATATCTGTGGAAAACTGAATTCCAGGGAACCAATCAGGATTCAGAGGGGTCAAAATAAGACTTCTCCAAAATAACTGTCAACCAGGCTCCAAATGTGATTTTCAGAGCCCATCACAGACCCTCTGCTCCTTTTCTTCCTCATGCCTCCACCTTTGTCTCTCTCTCTCTAAAGACCGTGCCCGTTCTCTTAGATTCCGTGTCCACTGTCCTGAGCTGACTCCTAAGTCCAACCGTCCAACGCAGATACCTGGGGCCCCTCCCTCTTCACTGTCCCTCTGCTCCTGTGTTCTGACCCAGGAACAGGTGTCCTGTCATACCCCAAACACGTGTCCAAAAGCACATTCCTCATCTCCTGCCAGAAGCCTGCTCCCTCCCCAGAGTCGCCATTCTTCTGGGTTGGGAGGGTGTGTGGGGAGACGGCAGTGAGAGAACACTGCTCTTCTCTCCCTAGCAAGGTGTCCTTGGCCTTCCCCTTTCCTTCATCCCATCTGGCACTGGGTTCTTGCATTTCTCAGGGTGTCACCCTCTTTCCATCCCTGATGCCGTCCACCAGTCCCCTTTGACAGTAAAAACAGGACCTTGGCCCATCATTGCTATTTGCGCACATAAACAGAGATAAGCAGAGATAACAAGAAGCCCTAGCCTGTGGCAGGATTTCTGGCCCCTCCTTCCCCCCATCGGCCCCTCCTGTTCTCTGTGGGCACCTGGATTTCCTGCTGTCTCACCCAGCTGCCCACACTGCCACCACCACCCACAAATACACATTAAGACGCATCTACACCGATATGCTAACTTCCTCCTGTTTGCACTTAAATATATTTAACTCTAACTGCACCGCAGAAAGCCGGTTCCCATTTACATAGCATTTTATAACTAGCAAGCAGGGGGCAATATTTGGCAAGGTGGAGGAACCTTTTCATTTTCCTCAGAGTTACACTCTTCCTAAAGCTGCCCTTCAAAGAAAGCCAGGGTTAGGGTTTACTGCGGACTGAACTGTTTCCCCTGAAATCCATGTGTTGAAGCCCTAACACCCACCCCCCCTCCACACACACACACACACACACACACACACAATGTTCTAGTATCTGGATACAGGGCCTTGGGGAGGTAATTAGGTCGTGAGGACAGCGTCCTCATGATAGGATTAGTGCCCCTATATAAGAAGGGACAGGAGAAAGACCTCTCTCTTCCTCTTTCTCTCTCTGCCATGTGAGCACACAGCAAGAATACACCCTTATCGGGGCTCCTGGGTGGCGCAGTCGGTTAAGCGTCCGACTTCAGCCAGGTCACGATCTCGCGGTCCGGGAGTTCGAGCCCCGCGTCGGGCTCTGGGCTGATGGCTCAGAGCCTGGAGCCTGTTTCCGATTCTGTGTCTCCCTCTCTCTCTGCCCCTCCCCCGTTCATGCTCTGTCTCTCTCTGTCCCAAAAAATAAATAAACGTTGAAAAAAAAAATTTAAAAAAAAAAAAAAAAAAAAAAAAAAAAAAAAAAAGAATACACCCTTATCTCAGACTTCCCAGCCTCCAGAACTGT